TGGTGGAGGTGACACACACGGAGGCAGTTAAGGGAGTTGTAAGACATTTACACCTGATTTCATTCATTCTACATCTGTTGTCACTGCAGACACAATACGCACATTTTTAGATTTAGTGAGACTTACACTTTTGAGGATATCTCTGACTTCAAACATTGATAAAATTTGTCTGTTTTGAAACAAAAGTCATTTCTTTCAAAGTGAAAAGAAGAGTTCGGTTTAGTTGTAATTTTTGTGAAACAGGGTTGCCCTTAGAATTTTGACCAGTATCAGAGAGACCCAGTAACAGTTGGTTGTAAGTAAATTGAAAACAGGAACTGGCACAGACGAGTAGCAACTGAAAGGAATAACCTAAACCCTTGACTCCTACATTGAGCGGATTCAGTGGCTTGACTATGCTGTGGGGATTATTTTGTTGGTCTGGTTTCGGTCCATTTCTCCCTTTAGAGCAAGGGCTCACTGCAAATCAATACAAAGTTGCCCTGAGTGATCACCTTCCGATGATGAAACATTTTATCAGGATGTCTCATCCAGAATTACAATGCTCCCATCCATAGGGCATGAGGGGTCACTGAATGGATTGATGAAAATGATGTGAATGCCTTCACAGTCCCCAGATCTCAACCCATTTGAACACTATGGGAGATTTTAGACAGTGTTGGGCAGCGTTCTGCTCCACCATCAGCGTTCAGCCCTACAGTAAATTTCCAGAGACTTGGAGAATCCTACTGCCAAGAAGCTGTTTGAGCTGTTCTGGCTTCACGTGGCAGCCCCACACTTTCAAACAAAATCCTAATCACTGTGGACACACAAGTGACGCTCTGATTAGTGCTGTATGATGCATGCTGAGTCAGGTGCTTTTGCAGATCATTTGATAAATGTCTTGTGAAAGAATCCCAAAATTTGAAATCTTCTCTTTTAACCTTGTGTTTTTATGACTCTTTTTCTCCCCAAGAGCAAGACATTCATCATATCTCACACATCTTTAGCGTGCCCACACACAAGACACTGACACGCAAAGAGCTCTGTCAAATTATAGGGTTTGTAATGACACACATGCTTCTGGTGGCATCTCAGCATGTTTGTTTGTGCAGATCCGTAATATGATTTGCATTGTTATTGGTGATGTGTTGTACTCTATGTATTATGAATGCTGTTCTGTCACAATACGTCTCAACACAGTCTGTATATCCCATCCCAGTCTCTCTCTCGCTCTGTCCCCTCTCTCTCTCTCTCTCTCTCCCCCTCTCTGTCTCCTCTTTTCTGTTTTCCCTTCTTTACTCTGACCTGTCCTTTCCAGACCTCCCATCTCCTCATCGCCGTCTCCGTTTCAACCCATATCTGCAGTTTCCTCCCTCTGCGACTCTCTCAGCCAATCTCCATCACACCACGCATCATCAGCGGGAGGGAGAGATGAAAAGCAGGAGGGAGGGAGAGAAAGAGGTTGAATAAAGAGGGGGAATGGTGCACAGGGAAAGAGAAACTTTAAGACTGAGAGGGAAGTAATAGAAGGAGAGAGAGAATGACTGGCAGAGAGATGAGCGAGAGGAGGAGGACGAGAAACTGAAGGTAGGAGGGTGAAGGGAGACGGGTGAAGGAGAACATAGCAGGAATAAAAGAGAGGCAGATAAATAGACAGATGAAAGAAGGTATTCATGGAGGAAAGGACAGGCAGGACGGAGGGAGGGAACATTTGTGTGTGTGTGTGTGTGTGTGTGTGTGTGTGTGTGTGTGTGTGTGTGTGTGTGTGTGTGTGTGTGTGTGTGTGTGTGTCAGCATTGGCAGTAAGCATCAGAGATAGAATGGCAAGTGACAACTTCTGTAGGACTAAATTAGCACTCATTCTGTCTCTCACAATGTCTACCTGCTCCTTCATTTCTCTCCTCTATAATCTCAACACTCACACATCTCTGCCTCTACCTACACTGTAAAAAATGTCTAAATACTGTCATACTCTGCATTTCAGTTTGTTTCAATTCCACCCACAATCATGCGGCTAACTAGGAAGCATTGCCCACAATGCCCAAGGTATCCTGATTTCTAGTCATTGAAATTGGTCAAGCGACAAAAAAAAAAAAAGATTCCTGCATTTACCAAACAGCAACTCGATAATATCTAACCCATTCTAGCTCGCAGCTAATCCAGAAATGAGCAAAGAGGGCTACCATGAGTGGAGCAGAGGTGGGCCATGCAAACGCCTCAGGCCTACTGACTGTCCTATGTCAGCACCCACCTGTGCCTGAAGCAGTGCTGTCCTTAATTATGTATGACCATGAACTTTAAAACAGTTTAAACAGGTGAGTTATAATGCAATTCAACCCCAGTACAGTTATCATGAACGGGGAAATAACCTGCAGAGACCTAAGTCGTTTTTTGTGACAGGCTCTGAACATGTTTATTTCTTCTGTAGATTTGGATAGGTGAACATACAAGTCAGTGGTGATTGACTCACTTTTGGGGCCAGGATCAAGTGGCCATTTATGGAAATACAAGTTTTGGCACTTTGGTGTTGGCCTCATTTTTCAGCTCCAGGGGTTACCACATGTCACCAAGCCCACATGGAGTTAACTGTGAGGTCATTAGCATGTACCTATGGATTGGTAGAGTAATCATGTGATTGATGAGTCAATAGAAATAAAATGAATTCAGCACTTGTAGTAATCAGTTATTCTTTTATTTATTGCTGAACATTTCATAAACACAGTTTTCCATGCACAAGTTTTAATCCTGTTAATTTAACACTTACTTTACCAAATGCAGAAATCTGTTGTTTTATTAGTATGTACCACATATAAATTGTCTAAGGCATTCCCTTTTAAAGTGGACAAAAAAAGAAAGCTAATGGATTTTCATCTACTTCATGAGATTTCTTCATTCAGTATGCCACAAGCATTTGTCTCTGTTTCCCACAGAAGCTGTCATAAGACTTCACACCCATTTTCCTTGCCTTTGAAAAAGAATAACTTCCCAGAAACAAATGCATTTCAAAAGTAGTAAAAAAATCTATCTGCTTTATTTCCTGTCTTTGGAATGCAGAATGTATGTATATATTTACTTTACCTCATTGCCTGACAGTTTGACATTTCCTTTATTGTTTAAAGAACAATATGATTTTAAAATATAATAGTACATTAAATGACTTGTTGATTTGTTATCTTCTGCAATGCATCTCATTATCTGTCTCACTTTTTCTCCCCTCTTCTGCTTCTCGCTCAGTTGCCCCTGACAGCCACATTCAGTTTCCCCTCCTCCCCTGCTTTGTACTGTCATTCATCATCAGTGTCATTCAGTTTTCCCCTTCCACATGGCAAAACATCTGTCTGGGAGTGTTGCCTTGTTGAAACAGAATCAGATAAACCATGCCATGAGAGGCCTTGAAGCAGTTTCACCTCTTTCTGTCTTATGTCAATTTACATGCCATCCCAGAACACACAGTGCATGTGCCATGTCTTTATGAACCAGCCCAATGTAAGAAGCTGTGCAGCATATACTTGATTATCAAAGGTTGCACTGTGTGGTTCTTTCTATTTATATAGATTTTTATATTTATATGTGGCTTTACCATTCAGCATCATACCTTTCTCACAGACTTGATATTTTCTAGATCGCTTTGAGTTCCTTTGGTGAATATACACATACACTTACACATACACAGTTGTTGCATAGTGGCCACGCAAACACAGTTTGTGCTGCACATGGATATCCGCAGAACGGTCCACACGGACTTCAAAAGAGGACAAATTTGACATCTCTTGGACCCTGGTAGACCCTAGTGCTATTAAATGTACCGATGATGTTACTGCCCTGACAAGTCAAAATATGTACCATGAAGAGGTCTCCATATCTTATGTAAGTCAAAGGAACATACCATGTTATTACTAAATGGGGACTCTGTTTCACCATGGCAAGCAACTGGGCAGTAAACACTTTTTGTCTAATGAATGAAATCATCTATTGTCTGACACTAAAGAATAGTTACAACTTGCCAACTAAAAACAGTTCTTGATGACTTCGCTCTGTTGTAGAAGTCCAAAGTTGTGAATATTTCTTCTTCTTCCTCAAGGTTTTTTAGTGGTTGGCAAACAACTGCTTTTGTTTGTAACCTCTTCTTCTTCTTCCACCAACTTCAGACAACACAGAGATGCCTAGTTCAGTAGCACCGAGCAGCTAGTAGATGCAGTCCTCCTCTCATTTTCTTTTCCCGTTTTTGTTTGTTTGTTTGTTTGTTTGTTTTGTGACATTTAAAAAGTTGCCTTCACAGAGCAGGTGTTTTTTTTTTGTTCAGGGTTTTTTTTAATGGTGTATGTGCTTTTTATTTATGTTCATGCTATGGTGGATGTGCACATGACTTTGCAGCTTGAATCTGGTTTAATGGTTTACAGGAATCCAAGCAGCCTGTTTCCCCTCATCACCTGCACAATGTTTTCATGTGTCCTTCTGGTTGAAGACCTGAAGACATGGAAAAAGAAAAATCAGTAACTCATGACAGCATCACTTAATAATGGATTGTTTTGCCATTTTACGTGTGTGTGTGTAATCTGAAATCTGAAGCTGAACCTGGTGCTCTCAGGAGTTAGTTCTTTGAAGAGCTGTTGTTTTGATTTGGGAGGCTTTGTCCTGTTTGTACATTAGATGAAACCTGCATTATTCTAAAAATTAATAAGGATGAAAATCAGTGGAGAAAATGATACTTCGAGTCGACTGACATTATTAAAAGGCATCAAAGAGACAAGTGCTGCTAGGATTTGTGTTTGCTCTTGGAAAACAAGCAGGTGTTCCTGTGATCCGACTCACACATGGAATAAAATCAGCAGCAGTTTTTTTTTTGTTGCCAGAAACTGTGCTGTGCTCAAAGTCGACTCCAGAACAAATCTGAGGCATTGGGATGGATTGAAAATATTAAAATAGCACAGTTTTAGAAAACAAAGCATCACACTTCCCCATGGTTCAATCCAACGTTGTAGCTTCTCAGTCTAATGTTGAGTTTCTGTTTCTGGCAGATGGTGATGGCTACCAGGACCACCTTCTCCCCGCATGTTTGGGTGAAAACTGTGAACAGAGTGTCATCTACCTAGCCAAGTCAGGCTCGACAAAGGTACGCACACAACCACACTGACAGCTGTGTTTCAAGTTATTGTATTGGATTGTCTTGGTTTTTACTCAGTAAAGCCCTCTTCTATGAGCTGGCATTTACACTCTGCTCTGCTGTCTGTCCTTACCTGCTTCTCAAAACTGTGGTACCTTTGAATGCTGCTTAGTACTTTATGACATTAATTTTCTCTTTTGATTTGTACAACCGTTCTCTGCTTGGTTCTGTCTCCTAGTTTTTAATACACTTTCACAGAAAACATTGAAGCACAAATTTGGGATGAACTGGACGGTTTCTATGTAAATGACTGGTACTATACTGCTTTGCCCAGTTGTATATTTCATATGCCGTATGACGTCAATGCAGCATCTCACAAAAAGCATTAACTGAGAATTTACATAGTGCTTCTACCTTCTTTCTTAACAAGGTTTTTTTTTAACCCTCTATCTGTCACATTTTTGCTCACCATGGGCTCATTTTGGACCGCTATGAATACAGTGCAGTGTGGTTAGATGTGGACAAAACTCCAAAGTGAGTTTTGTGCAACAAAGTCATAAAGCCATTAATCATTAAAAAAAAATGTTGAATTTCTTTTATTTATTTATTTATTTATTTATTTTACAAAAATGGGAAAAGCAAAAAGCTTGGAATCATAGGTATGATCAATGCAGACAAAATGGTGTCTCTACATAGGAGCGGTATTTACTCTATTTGTCAATTAAACTTTGCAGTGAACCAGAAAAAAACTAATGTTCGCATTTGATGTGACCCCCCTTTACTTTTAAAACTGCACCAATGCTCCAAGTGCAGGTACATTTGTGCAAAAATTTTAAGGAACAGTCGTGACTGGATAATCCAACACTAAATGTAAAAACTTCTCTTATGTCGGACAGCAAGGCTGTTGGATTGTCAAGATGGAGGTCAAGATACATGAGGGCTTGATGCTTGAGGAGTGATTTGCTGTTAATTATTGTTCATAGTTGTTATAATAACTAGTAGGGCTGGTCCCAATAGCACTTTTTGTACTCTGGATATTAAGGCCCAATTATTGATACATATCTGAATATTTAGCGCATTTGGGAGGGACACTTCCACCCCGGGGGAGCGCTCTGATGAGGTGGAAGTGGCCGGAATGCACAGGCAGTACTTGGCTGCTGATGCCAATTTAGTTTGCGGTCACACTTCTGTTTCCACCATCGGTGGCACCACCAGCACCATCACCGCCATGCGTGTTTACTTGCGTAAACACTGAGCATGCTCACTGCATGTGACGTCGCTGTGTCCTCTTCTACGCATGCGGCACACTTTTGGGCCGTATGAAGTTCACGCAGCAGATCACATACAAGTCGCATTTAACTGGAAATGTGAACGAACTCGCAAAAAAAATGGATTTCACAAAAAAATCTGAATTGAGCATTAAGTCCTGCAGTCTGAATGTAGCCAATCTATTGGATTGTTAAATCAGATAATACGCCGTTATCCTTATTTGTGACATAAAAAGTCATGTCAGAGTCGGAATCCAAAGCTGTCGGTATGTTAAGGCTAGTTTTCATGGGTTCCGTTCATTTTATCCTAAAAACCTGTCAGATAGCAAGGTTTTCGGATTGTTAAGGGTTGGATTATTGAGTCGCGACTGTACTTAGATCTCTTGGCACAACTGCCAAAACTTCTGTTCCTGCAGATAGTATGACAGATAAATGCACCTCATCTGTGCTCTATTTTCATGCTTCAGAAAAATCTAGTATGTGACAGGAGCTCTTAGACAATCAGCAGACTTTTTACCTTGTGTAGTCGAGACACTAAATAGCAACAAAGCCCATGGTGTATGTAGGGCTTTTGGCCAAGTGAGCAGGATTTGAGTCCTAGGTGATACCGAAAATGAATGTTGACTTTTATCTTTTACTACACTTACCTGGTAAGAGATGAATGAAGAGTGGAGATGTAAGAGCTGCCATGTGGTTTCTTTTTGCTTTTAATTTGCTTTTTTTTTTTTTTTTTTTTTTTTGCCTTTTTGCCTTGCCTTTTCCAGATTTCTGGATGTTGCAGCTTTAAATGTGATGGACAGTGATTCATTTGTTCAATTACAGACTGTAAGAAATACCCCATTGCAGAGGGCATGACATTTTTTTGGATGTAATCATACAAAATAATAGGAACAATTTGTCAATGGATCAGTCGATCAACAGAAAATTCATATGAAACTAGTTTGATAATCAGTTAATGGCCACCTTAAGTTTAAAATAAATAAATATAAAATGTGCTGTTGGTAGGTGAAGGGACGACGAATTATGGTCTTCTTGTCACATGCATTTGATCCAACCATCGTCCCTGAACTCTTCCCCCAGATTTTTGCAGCTCCTTAATCACATAAATTTTGGCAGTGCTTAAAAAGAAGGTAATGACCAAAAGAGGTTATAAACAGACTGTTTCAGGTGTTTTAGCACATAGGTAGTTCTGACTGAATCCCACCTCACCAGTCGCTGCCTTGCAAATCAGAGCACTCTTTCCCCAAACAATGGCTGTCTATTTCAGGAAGGCATTAGCCACGTGGCTCACTGCAGGAGGCTCTTGCTTAGAAAGACATCAGAGCTGATAGAGCGCATGTCACCTTGTTTGCCGAGCCATGCAAGACTGAAGTAACGGATATGCACACAGACACATGCAGTCCCATCCAATTAATGTTCACATGCAGAAATGAATATATGTGCATAGACGTGTTCACACACAGTTGTTCTTACACTCATGTGAACACACATCGTCCTCACCACCACCACCTACGTACCATCTTGTGTGATTCTTTTCAATTGCATCCTACCAGTTGGCAGGAGGCCCCGCTCCTTTTTCTCCCTTCCTCTGCCACCAGAGGACTGGCTTTCATTTTTTTCCAGTCCAAAATAGAAATATTACAAGCTTATCTGCATGTCCACCCCCACACACACATGTGCAGACAAAAGACACACATGCGGCAACGCACAGATGCGTATTCCCCGTGGACATGCCTTCTTTTGTCTGCCTGTCAGCAACAAAAAAAATTATTGAAGTGAGAAGTGAAAGGAGGAGTGCTGAAGGAAGGGGAAGGGGAAGAGAACTTATCTGCACTGATGGATGAAGTGAACACATGTTGTGTTCCGTGTTGCTCTGTCTTTGAGAGGCAGTCATCACTGTCAAATAAAGAGACAGCCAGAGACAGAGGGCTGGTTGGAGTGAAGGAGAGTCTTGTTCAGCCTCCACAGTTGTATGCAAAAGTTTGGACACCGTCAGGAAATTACATCATCTTTGACATTTTGAAGTTAAAAGAAGTTAATTCAAACCCTGCAGCAAACACACATTAACATGGGCTTTTGTGGGAATTTCAGTAAATTGGTACTTCTTATTTTTTTTTTAAAGTACTAAAAGTTAAAAGTAATAGTGGCATGTGCAAAAGCATGAGCACTCTTCTACTTTTGCTGCTTCTTTAGTATGTTACCCATTCACTGACTCTTTAAAACTTGCAAGGAAGGTGAAGATTTGTCATCAGGAATAGGCGGATAAACTCCCTTCCTCTCACAGACAAACTCTTGTGTTGTTGCTTAACAACAGTGGGCTTCTGTACGCAACTGAGTGAGGATTTGAAAATGTAGCTAACTGATGCCTACAAAGCAGCAAAGGGCTATAAAAAGATATCATAGTGCCTCCAGCTTTCAGCAGTTTCTACTGTCTAAAATGTCATGAAGAAATGGCAGTTATGGGAAGCTGTGGAAGTCAAGTCAAGATTTGAAAGAACAAGAAACCTGCATGTCTCATACATAAAAAGGCACCACACAACCCCCATATGACTGAAGTGTTTGACTGCAGCATTAATGCAAACAGCATCCACATAGAAGAGTCATCTGAAGGAAAACTTGCAACGTCCTTACTGAAGTCAACATCTGGAGTATATCAAATAATAATATAAATCTGCCAGTGTTGAGTATAATTCTGTTGATTAATCTATCAACTATTTTGCCAATTATTTGATTAATCTAAATTGATTTTAAAAATTCCTCTAAAAATAACATAAAAACGTTTTTTGGTTTTTTTTTTAAAGTTTGTTTGTAATAAAGCGGAAGATATTTCACAAGCACAAAGCAACTAATTTTGTCCTTTTGGTGTAATTGTTGTCTAACTTTGGTAATAGCTTTGAACTTTAAAAAAAATACTGGCAGTACAGCTGTTGTCATTCACTCCTGTGTTGGGGGAGTTTGTTGGTGCAGTGTTGCAAACAGAAAATCTGATTTGAGCAGCTTGGAACCGACTGCTGGTCAATATGTGGTCGTCATGAGGCACACTTCAGTCACTGTTTCATCCTCGTTCTGTTGTCTGACAACAGAAACAGAAAGATATGTACATAAGAACAGCTGTATTGGGAATTCAACTCTATACCATTAGTGTTGTCACCATACCAGAAGTTTAAGGTCTTGTTAGCAGTGTCAGGGGAGCATGCAGGTAGAGATCTGCTCCACTGTTCAGTCAACTAATCAGACAAAGCCGAATTAGATAGTTCATAGCTGATTACCTCATCAGACTCCGATGGTGAAAAAGGTTCACTTGTTACAAAATTTATCACTCTTTTGACTTTTATATTATCCAGTGTTTCCACTACATTCCTTTAGGAGTGGCGGGCCGCCATTCCTAAATCCTAGCCGCCGCTCCTTCAAATTTCAATTTTTTTTTAAATTGTCGCGAATTCACCACCATCGTATGTCTCCACCTTCACAGCAGAGACTGGTACAGCAGAGTCCTGCACTGGGTACTACAGACAACTATCTTGCTCAGTGTCTACTCTTTGGGGGTTAATACGAAGTTAATTACTCACAAGTACTAAAGTAAACTACAGATAACTATCTTGCTCAGTGTCTACTCTTTGGGGCCTTCATAAGACGTTGATTACTCGCAAGAGCGCAACCTTGAGAGTGACATCACGTCCAGCACTAGGCTCCAGGTCAGAGAGTCAGAGGAGGTTCGTCTTGGAAA